CGGGAATGAAAATTCTCAGAGGTTATTCTGAATGGGGCAGCTGTATCAAGTATCCAAAGTGACATATTCTTTCGTTGAAAAGGCCACTGCCTAACAGGACTTATAGATACAGAATCAGAATCCTTGAGAGATGAAAATCCAGATTTCTAAGCATGGCAGACAAGACCCTTAACAATCTTGGCCCAACGAAACTCCTCAATACTGTCTCCTGCCTTGGCCTGCTCATATTCCAAGCTCCAGCTTTGTCATATCTCTTTGCCTTTGCATTTGCTGTTAACCTCGCCAGGAATGCACCTCATTCTCTCACCTCCAGCTTGGGTGTACTCCTATCCAGGCTTCAAGACCCAGCTTACATATCACCTTTAACTCTCCCAACAACTCAGCTGGTTCTACTTCTATACTTACTGCACTGTAACAAATCTGATCTGTCTGACTCACTAGCTAACCCTTGGACAGATGTGTCTCCTCCTGCTCCAAGTCTAGATAGCACAGAACCTAGGACACAGTGAGTGCTCAACTGAGTAGGACTGAAACAAAAAGTCCATTCATTCCGTAACTCCATATGCTGTTTTTCTCAAAATGCTCGTATTTCAACACAAATGCTTGTCTATCAAATTCCATGATAGTTTTCACTCACTCGATCAAAACGTGATAAATAATGATCCACATGGGACCCCTTTGCTATACTATCTTTTTGTGGCTTTTAGTATGCTTTATTCTTGGGAGGGGTGTCTCTTGCTATGGTTTTCTTTGTTACTGAGTGCTACTTTCACTTTCTCTGCCTCTTACTCAATCTTCTTTCTCCCCTGGAGCTTCACCACAGGAAAGTCTAAAGCTCCTGCTCTCAGTGTCACATCTCCCAAAGCTTTTGCTTCTATGAAATAAAATTTTTTAAAAAAATGGATCAATCAGGATGTCACAAACTTGAGTTGTAACTCTGTTGCTGTGACTCTGTTGCTCATGCAAATATCTTAAGCTCTCTTAGCCTGTTTCCTTGTGAGCAAAATAAAAATTCCTGCCCTGGACACCCACCACAAGTGATTATAGTGAGGATCATATAACATAGTGGATGTGAACGTGTATAGCACTAAAATAAGGTATAATAAATTGTTATTATTAAAAGACAGTTAATGAGTCTTAAAGGCACTAATAATTTCAGGAATCTTCGAGGACTGGGTTAGCTATAGCACAATAAGCCAAATCACCACTACCATGTTTGCCAAAGGCAGATCATCTCATCATCACCTGTTTATCAACTACTTAAGTCAATGGTTTTCTGCTTTTTACTAATCTTCCTCACCAACATTTTTTTACATGTACAATTCTGTGATATTAGTTACTTTCATTATGCTGTGCAGACATCACCACTATCCATTTTCAAATTAGAATTTAATTATCTTGTAGCACATAACACAGCAACTGGCAATGTGGAAATGTGTGTTTCCCTGGGGTGGGGGTGGGGTAAGTTGAAACCACCTAAGGGTTATGAGACATTCCCACTGGCAGCAGTGGCTCTCCCATTGATCTCAAAAGATTGGAGAGCCTGCTATTGGACAACTATTGTGCCAGGCATTGAGGATACTACTACAAGCAAAAACGAACAATGTCCCTGCACTCACAGATCTTGCAGTCTCAAGGAGCAACACGGACAACAAATAGTAGGATAAAGACACCCACACCCAAAATGACTGAAATATATATATGTGTGTGAGTTTGCAATCTCTGCACCCTCTCTTCAGAACAACCTTAAAGTGGTTCCAACCTCCCCTACCCCCACCACAGGGAAACTCACATTTCCATACTGCCAATCACTGTGTTAGGTGTTACAAGATAATTAAATCCCAATGGAAATGGATTGTGGTGATGGTTGTACAACATGATGAAAGTAACTAATATTATGGAATTGTACATGTAAAAAAAGTTGAAATGAAAATTTTTTTGTTATATATATACATATACGCACATACTCATAACAAAAAAAAACAAGAGAAGTTTTTCAAAAGCTAACTAATTAATAATTAAAGTGTGCAATAAGGCATTCTAGGCATAGATCAGGAGACTTAAGTAGAGTTCCAGGTCAGGGCCAGCAATATAATTTGCAAGACCTAGTGCAAAACGGACTATATGAAGAAGAACGTGACATCAAGATTGGAGGAAGACTCATCAACCTGCGATATGCAGATGACACAACCTTGCTTGCTGAAAGTGAAGAAGACTTGAAGCACTTACTGATGAAAATCAAAGACTACAGCCTTCAGTATGGATTATACCTCAACATAAAGAAAACAAAAATTCTCACAATTGGAACAAGAAGCAACATCATGATAAACAGAGAAAATATTGAAGCTATCAAGGATTTCATTTTACTTGGATCAACAATCAATGCCCATGGAAGCAGCAGTCAAGAAATCAAACTACGTATTGCATTGGGCAAATCTGCTACAAAAGACCTCTTTAAAGTGTTAAAAACAAAGATGTCACTTTAAGGACTAAGGTGCCCCTGACCCAAGCCATGGTATTTTCAATCGCTTCATATGCGTGCAAAAGCTGGACAATGAATAAGAAAGACTAAAGAAGAACGGATGCATTTGAATTAAGGTGTTGGCAAAGAATAGTGAATATACCATGAACTCTCAGAAGAATGAACAAACCTGTCTTAGAAGAAGTACAGCCAGAATGCCCCTTAGAAGGGAGCATGGTGAGACTTCATCTCATGTATTATGGACATGTTTTCAGGAGGCACCAGTCCCTGGAAAAGGACATCTTACTGGGTAAAGTAGAGAGTCAGTGAAAAAGAAGAAGAGCCTCAGGGAGATAGACTGACATAGTGGCTCCAACAGTGGGCTCAAACATAGCAATAATTGTGAGGATGGTGCAGGACCAGGCACCGTTTTGTTCTGCTGTGAGTCGGAAGTGATTCAATGGCACCTAGTAACAACAGTGCAAAATGAAAATACAGGAACCCTTCCTTGTTCAAAAATTATTTAAAATTTCAAGATGGAAGCAGCAGAGCATTAATTAAACTAAGACTTGGACCCCCTGGGACTACACAGGTCATACATCCATGAAGCCAGCCCTGCCAAGCTCCCATATTCATCAGAAATGCAGTTTGTAGCCAGTCATTTAACCTACTATGCCACAGGTTCTTTGCAGCTATAAAATTAGGGGATGGGATGAGAAGACTTTCAGTTTCTTCCCAGACCTAACATCTATGGTTCTCTGTTAAGGAACTAGATAATTCATTTGCAGAGAGTTCTTATACCCTTTTTACAACCATTATAATTCGGAATGTGACTCAAGGATACTGTTAAAAAACCATACATAGTATTTCACCTTCAACTATATTGATGTTTTTTACATCTATATACCTCCTTAATTTTGCCTAAGAGAAAAAACTCCAAAGCAGTGTTCCAAGTTTACTATTTTCCCATGTATGGCATTTAAATCTGAAATTCCCAACAGAGGCCTCTCCATCTATAAAGTAATTTTTCCCACAGTAAAACTCTCTTCACAGAAATTAAATATTTTCTTTTCTATCCCCTGAAAAATTATCTATTCAGAATCAACTTCCACATATGGTACAGAATTTGGGACTGGCCCAGTAAAAAGGGGGTAAAATGTCATTTTAGAGTGAATTAATCCTTTTATTCCACCAGTTTAGTACTTAGCAAAACATAACTGATAACTATATAAACCAAGTGTTCTTAATCTGGAGTCCATAGACAGAATTCTAGGAGTTCATGACTTGAATGGAAAAAATTATAGCTTTATTTTCATTAATCTCTAATGTTTAACATTCTTCAGTTATGAATGTAGGCAACAAACCACAGTGGTATTAGCAGTATCTACCAAAAGATTGGTAGTTCAAATCCACCAGGCGTTCCTTGGAAACTCTATGGGGCAGTTCTACTCTGTCCTGTAGGGTTGCTATGAGTCAGAATTGACTCGACAGCAATGGGTATGGCTTGATTGGAATCCTGGTGGCAGTGGTTAAGAACTATGGCTGCTAACCAAAAGGTCAGCAGTTCAAATCCACTAGTCGCTTCTTGGAAACTCTCTGGGACAGTTCTGCTCTATCCTACAGGGACGCTATGAGTCAGAATCAACTCCACAGCAACGGGTTTTGTTTTTGGTTTTGGTTTATGATTTGATCATCAGTAAAAAATTATAGATATTTTCATGTCATATATTTGTTGCAGATATCTTGAAATATTATGTTTAACACTATCTGAAAATTTCAATAGTTATTGGACCCACTGGTAGATATTGTTGTTTACTATATTAATAAAGAATTACCTACACTATTGGAGCACAAAGTTGACATTTTTACATTTCAATAACTATATTTCAACATAATTGGCTTAGTTTTGTAATCCTAAGTATATCATTTTATTCTTCTAAAAATAATATTCTGAGAAAAGATCCATTGCCTTCATCAGACTACCAAAGGGGTCTGTGGCACAAAAAAGATGACAAAACCCTGGTCAAAAGAAGTTAAAGAGATAATGTAACAATAAAATTGAAGCAACTGTACTGTTGTCACGCAAGTAGTGATACCCATTGCTGTTGAGTAGATTTTGACTCATAGCAACTCTATAGGACAGAGCAGAACTGCCCCATAGGGTTTCCAAGGAGCAGCTAGCTGGTGGATTCGAACTGCCGACCTTCTGGTTAGCAGCCGTAGCTCTTAATTACTGTGCCACCAGGGCTCTTCAAGTGGTAATAGACCTAGTTTAATAAATAAAAACTGTCTAAAATTCTAATTCAACAACGTTGTCTATAATACAACAAAATCTTCATGGTCTATTTCTTTTAATGTGACAATAATTAAGTACATCAAAACAGAGGTGACTTCTGTTGTTCTTCTGTTTTGTTTTCTGTTTTGTTGTTGCTGTTGTTGTTCTTTTGTTTTTGCAAGTATGACCACAGGATTTGACCTGAAAAAGGACAACCCAGACACGTTTTTACACCATTATCTAAAATGATATTTGGATTCATACCTGAGATGACAGTAGGTTACAATCAATGAACAGTCCTTTCCCAGTTTTATATCTTTGTATTAATCCAGCCATGATGGCTCCGTATGCATACAGGCCAGTGGCAAGATCAGTCATGGCCACTCCTGGGCGAACTGGATCTCCATCCTTATTTGAGAATTGGGTTGAAAAGACAGACAGAAAACTGAAAATTAAAACCATATATGATTTCTCAAATATTAACAAGGTTAAACAAAATTGTATATAAGGTGAGCCGTCATACACACACACACACACAACAAATACAATAGATTACCATTGTATATATCTGTTGGTGGTGGAATTATATTTACTGTTTTTGTCACTGTAACCCCTACCAACCAAAATAAATCAAACCAAACCAAACTAAATAAAAGATTTTTTAAAACATGTCTGAAGTTCCTTCTTAAAATAGTTTACCTTGTTTATACTAAAAAACTAAATATCTGAATTTGAATTTAAATGAGTTAATCTGTTGGGGAGAAGGAGTTAAAGCAGCATTTTTCTCCTGTTGAGTGGGAAGCTCTCCCAGGAAACAAAGAAGACAAGAGATCTGGTCTAATCTCCTTATAAACATGCTAAGAGCTGGCAAATAAACTAATGGCAGTTGTTAGGAGAAGGGCATTTATCCATAGAATGTTTCTAGTAGGATGTCCCTGGTTTAGGATTGCTAAACATTTTGCTGCTAACCAAAGTTCGGCAGTTTGAATCCACCAGCCACTCCTTGGAAACCCTATGGGGCAGTTCTACTCTGTCCTATAAGGTCGCTGTGAGTTGGAATCGACTCAACAGCAGTGGGTATGATAAACAAACTTAGTAGTATCTATAGATTTATGAAGCATGGAGCATTAGCTATGAAACAGTATAAAATGAAGATGTTTCACAGTCTATAATCCTCTCTTCTGTGTGAGATAACTCATGCACTTCATTAGGAAGCTTATTTATTGTTCTGGGTCTGCAAGCTGTTCTGTAATAGGGGAAGAAAGGATCCCTGAATGTCCAGGACCTCTCTCTGCTTCTCCTGTGCCTTCTGATTGCTTGTATCCTTGAGATTATTAGTAAAGCTTGATACTGATTAACATCTCTAATTCATGTCAGTCTGATTTGACAATCCAATCCTTTTCCTACATGCAAAGGTTTTACAACAGTGCCTGGCACACAATAAGTACTCTGTACAAGTTAGCTATCAAAATTATAATCAACATTATCATAAGTTATTGTTATATCAGACAGTTTCCACTTTTCATTACCTTGAATTCTTCCAAGCCTTTCATGGCACAGAAACCCATATTTCACATTTTATCAGGTTGACACATTATTCATTCCCTTCCTTATTTACTAATTCCAGCTGCTGTTCAGTCATTTTCAAACAGCAACCATTGCAGTCAAGTCGATTCCCATTCACAGTGACTGTATAGGACAGAGCAGAACTGCCCCATAGGGTGTCCAAGGAGCAGCTGGTGGATTCCAACTGCTGACCTTTTGGTTAGCAGTTAAGCTCCTACCCACTGCGCCACTTTTCCTTTTCCTCAGCTCCTACATAAGCCATGTTAATCACCTTACAAGAGTGATAAATAATGTTAATAGCAAGAAAATGCAGGCTATAGTGGCTAAACATTTTTTTTCTACTTTGCAATACAATTTCAAGGAAGATATTGTCACAAAAATTGGAAACCTCTGGCAGCCTAACTTTTATTACTGTATAGTGGCTTGAATCAGTAAATTTAAAATTTAATTTGTCATTGGGATTTAAGATTATTGAAGGCATTCAAAGCCAAAGACAAGTTCAAATTTAAGTTTACAGACATCTGTTTACTTATCATAAAATGAATATAATCAGATTTTATCTCCTATATCTCAGATCAGTAGGAATAAACAAGACAATAAATCCTTTATATTTTAATTTTTCTTTAGAGGGGGGACTATATCTGATTAATATTCTAAAAATATCATTACCCAGAATAATAACCTGTGTTGTATGAATGTTAAATAAATATTAAGTCATCTATGTATTAAAGACAACACTGTAACTAGTAAAAATGACCACTTATTCCAAGTAATTTTAGGTCAACACTTGATGAAAAGAGCCCTGTTAACCCACTTTAAATTCAAAAATACAAACAGGTTGAGAAGAAAAGGGTGGAAAAACATACACCATGTAAGCAACAACCATAAGGAAGTTGGAGTAGCTATACTAATATCAGACAAAATAGACTTCTAAAAACGTTACAAGGTATAAAAGAATGTTACTAGATATAGAGGGATGTTTTATAATGATAAAAGGATCAATCCTTCAGGAAGATATAGCAAATATAAACATAGGTGTGCCAAAAAACAGAGCTCCCAAAGACATGAAACAAAAACTTACAGAATTGAAATGAGATATAGCAACTCAACAATATAGAAAAAGACTTCAATACCCAATTGTCAATAAAGGATAGAAAAACTACACAGAATATCAACAAGAAAATCAAAGACTTAAACAACACTATAAACCAGCTACACCTAACAGCTATCTATAGAACACTCCATCCAACCAAAAAAAATACAAATTTTTCTCAAGGGTACATAAAATATTCTCTAGGATAGACCATATGCTAGGCAATAAAGCAAGCTTTGATAAATTTAGAAGACTGAAATCATACAAAATATGTTCTCTGATCACAATGGTATGAAATTACAAATTAATAACAGAAAGAAATTTAGGATGGTCATGTATAGGAGGACGTTAACCAACACATTCTTATATATTTAATGGGTAAAAGAAGAAATCAAAAGGGAAATTAGAAAATACTTTCAGAAAATGAAAATGAAGACACAACTTATTAAAACTTATGGGATGCAGCTAAAGTAGTGCTTTGAGATAAATTTATATCTGCAAAGGCCTACATTAAAAAAGAATGATCTCAAATCAATAAGCTAATTTTCCTTTCCACCTAAAGACACTAGAAAAAAGAAAATAAACCTAAGGCAAGGAAAAGGAAGAAAATAATATATATATTAGAGTGGAAACTAAAGAAATACAGAATATAAAAACAATAGAGAAAATCAACAAAACGAAAAGTTGGTTCTTTGAAAAGATCAACAAAGGTGACAAACCTATAGTGAGACTGACTAAGAAAAAGAGAGAAGACTCAAAATACAAAATCATGAATGAAACAGGGGACAAGACAATTCAATGGGGGAAAGAATAGTCTTTTAAACAGTTGGTGAAAAGAACGAAGTTGGATTCCTTCCTCACACTATATAAAAAAAATTACCTCTACTGCACTGGTCTCATCCCTTTGGGAGCAAGGGAGAATAAAGAGAACAGGATACAAGGAAAAGATTAGTCCAAAGGACTAATTGTCCACAGCTACCAAGGCCTCCACCAGACTGAGT